GGAGAAAGCTGAGGCCTTCTGCTCCCATAAAGATTTACAGCCTCGGAAACCCTATGCAGGGTTGCTATGGGTCGGAATCTACTCCATGGCACATAACCATCACCACCACTATATACATGTATGTTGTTGTTAAGTGCTGTTGAGTTGGTTCCAACCCATAGTGACCCTGATTAAAGTTTCTGAGGAGCAGCTGGTGAGTTTGAACCTTTCAGTACAGACCACCCTTGTTGTGGTCGAACACTGATTCTACAGTGCCACACCAGGGCTCAGAGGATAGGACCATAGGGTCACCTTGAAACCCACCAGTCGCTCCTCGGAAACTAAACAGTGTCGTTATGAGTCGGAACTGACTCAGTGTCATGTAACAACAACAACAACACACACACAAGGTCCTCAATTTGTGCATCTTGCTCTTCTGGTTTCTCATCTGGCTGTCTGGGCCTGGGCAGTAACAAAGCAGTGGAGCCCACTAGTGGGCTCATTCCCAGGAAACAGAAATGCACGCAGGAAGAAGTGAGACTATGGATTCAGTGAACCCTCAGACCTGGGCTAAGGATCAGCCAAGATGGCCGAGGCAGGTGTCCAGGCAGGGAAAGACCTGGGAGGAAAGGGGTTTGGGAACTGGTCCCAGAATGTGAGAGGCAGGCCTCCTGAGTCATAGTCTTGCTCTGGAGATGGGGTTGCCAAGATCCAGAGATAAATTATAGTCATTAGGGAATTTAAGAGGCTGGGGGAGGGGCTGAGCATGGCAGACTCTTCCCCCCAAGTTAGGATGGGACCTCTAGCCTCAGGCTCTCAGCTTGGCTGTCTGGCATTCTTCCTCTTCACTCCCATTCTCTCTCCTGTTCTTCTGAGTCTCTGTCCCCCTTTCTCCCTGGGTCTCTGTCCCCTTATCTCTCTGGGTCTCTGCACCCCTCTCCCTGGGTCTCTGTCCCCCTATCTCTCTGGATATCTGTCCTCCTCTCCCTCCAGATCTCTGTTCCCCTCCCTCTCTGGGTCTCTCTGTTCCCCTCTCCCTGGGGCTCTGTTCCCTCTTCTCTCTGGGTCTCTGTCCCCCTATGTCTCTGAGTCTCTGCCCCCCTCTCCCTGGATCTCTGTCCTCCCCTCTGGGATCTGCCACCCCCTCTCTCTAGGTCTCTGTTCCCCCCTCTGGGTCTCTGTCCCCCTCTCTCTAGGTCTCTGTTCCCCCCTCTGGGTCTCTGTCCCCCTCTCTCTGGATCTCTGTCCTCCCCTCTGGGTCTCTGTCCCCTTCTCTCTGGGTCTCTGTCACCCCCCCTGGGTCTCTGCCCCCCTCTCTCCAGGTCTTGGCTCCCCTTTCTCTGAGTCTCTGTTACTGTCTCTCTCTCCATCTCTTACTAGATCTTGCCCCACTCTCCCCAGCCCCTTTGCATGGCTCCAGTTGAGGAACATAGTTCTGCCACTAACGCTCTTCTTCTCCCCTCTCAGGATTCTGAGGACCACTAAATGAGAAAGCTTAGAAGACAGGGCTGTCCAGTGTCCAGTGCCCTGGGCAGCCTGTCTCTGTCTCCTGCTCTTTCTCCATCCCAACCCCCAGCCTCCTCAGCTTCTCCTGGAGTTCTCACCTTCCATCTCTGCCTCCTTGTCTCTTTTCTCTCAGGCTAAGTCTCTTCTATCTGTATCTCCATCACCTCTTCTTTATTCATCTCACTCTCAGTCTCCTCTTCACACATCAACATCGTCATCCTCATTTGCTCTCTCTCCCATTGTTTCACCGCCTCCCCATCACCTCTTTCCATCGTCATTGCTGACATGCTGTGTGGATTGTGCTGGGGGGCTTATCTTCTCCACTGTTTCCTTTTTCTTTGTGTCTTTCTCTATCCCGTCTTCACTCCCTTCCCTCTGCTTTTCTCTCTACACCACCACCTCTTCACCTTCATCTCTCTTTGACTTTCAGTCTTACTTCCTTCTTCCTCTGTCCTGTGTTTCTCCCCTCTGCCTCTTGTTTCCCCATCTATCTCTGTCTTCTTCCCTGCTTTCTAGTTCAATCTAGAACATTAAAGCCCACACCACAGCAAGCCCAGTATTTTTCTCCTCAGTTTTCTTTGCCTTTGATATTTCTCTCTCTCTGTTTTATGTCTTTTACTCTCTCTCGGTCTCTCCACCTTCATCTTTTGCTTCTTTTTCATTCCCCCGGCCTTTCTTCCCCCTGCCCTCCATCTCTCAGCCGCTCCCAACATCTTTCTCTAAGTCTGTGTTCACCTTCCCTTTCTCCTCAGTGTCAACAATCTACCACCACTGATTGGGGATGTTCCCTTGCCCACCCTACCCTGGAGTCCCCCTCCCTGGATTCCTCTCAGATTATAACATCTTCAATGGGTGTGTTCTCGGGAACAATTGTGGCTGCTTCTCTGGTCAAAGAGGGGAGGGAGGGGATGGGACCTAGGAGCCCTGGAATGGGAACTTGGTAATAAAAAAATGTTAGGAGAAGGGCGGGGGGCAGGGCCAGCTGCCCAGACCAAGGATAAAAGGCTTCTGCACAACCAGGGAAGAGAGGTACCACTCCCATTTCCTCCACGCACCTAGGCAGGCAGGACCTGAACCTTGCTCAACGCCTTCCTTTTCACCACCTAGGAACCCCCTGGGCCTGTCCTCCTAGTCTCTCGCCTTTACCTCTCCCCCCGCTGTCTGTGTGTCTCTGAAGGTCTTGGTGTAGGTACCTCTGCTGTCTCTGTCTCTCAGCTTCTGTCTTTTGCAACCTATTCCTCTCTGCTTTGTTTAGAACCTGCCCTTCACCCCACAGAATGTTCTTCCTACTGACAGCACTTCAAATCTTGGCTGTAGGTAAGGTAGCAGTGGGTTGGGGGTGGAGTAGGGTGGGGGAGTCCCTGGAGAATCAGAATGTTCACAGGTGGGCTGGTGAGAACAAATAAGGTATAGTTTGGGGATCATGATTGAGGAGCACAGTGGGGATCCAAGTTCTGAGTGTAGATATTAAATTAGAGAGGGGAGGCAGTCTTAAGTGAGGAGAAATAGATGAGGAGATGTGGAAGCTTTTGGGGTCCTGGGTGGGTCATATTGAAAAGGGAAGACCACAGGGCACGTCTTGACCATGTTAGAGAAGAAGTAATATGGAAAAAACATGGAACGTTGTCAGAGTGATGATGGAAAGGTATAGTAGGGAGATAAGTCATGGGAACAGATGTGATAATGTGGATATAATGACTATGGGGTGAGATCATGGGTATTTGGAGTTCACATTGATTAGGAAAGTTATGGAAGGGATAGAGAACTCCTTGAATGTTTGGGGGAAGGACTAATGGAAGGATACACAGCATATTGTGAACAGTGGCGATAGGATGTGAATGTGGGAGAGTAGACTCGAAAGTAGTAATTGTAACAATGACCTGAATGAGGAGACTGTGGATCAAACTAATAGGAAACCCTGTACAGGGTCGCTGTGAGTTAGAACTGACTTGAAGACTCTTAGTAACAACAATTCTGGTGACTATGGTAGAGGTGGTAAGGGAGCTCAGAAGATCCCCTGTTGTTTAGGGCAATAACAGGGGGGTAATGTTGGGCATATCTCCCACTGGGTGGGGCAGATAGAAATAGGTGGTTTGGAGCTAACCCAAAATGAAGAGGATTTGTGGGAATTTGGATTCCTACAGGGTTGGGAAGTAGAACATTTGCTCATCTGCTTTTCCAACTCCATCCCACTCCTGCCTATTTCTAGCCATGGTACAGAGCCAAGAGGATGAGAATAAGATAATTGGTGGTTATCCATGTATCCAGAACTCCCAGCCATGGCAGGCAGCCCTACTGGCAGGTCCCTGGAGCTCCTTCCTCTGTGGAGGGGCCATGCTGTCTGACCACTGGGTCATCACTGCTGCTCACTGCGCCCGACCGTGAGTGACTCTCCCCTCTGCATGGTCCAAGTGCATCCCAGAATCTAGAATTCAGGAGCTCAACTGGAAATCTGTATTTACAATACAGTGTAGAATCTATGTCTTGGTTTGGGATCTTGATACGAGTCTAGAACCAATACCACAGCTCAGAATATGGAATCTTGAACTCAGTTTAGATTCTGAAAGCAGATAAATGGCTTAGAACCCACAAGCCTGCTTAGAATCTCACAAAGAACCTAGAACCTAATGTATAACTTGGAGATCCATTCAGAGCCCAAGTTCTACATAAAGATTAAGATTTGGGACCCATTATAGAGTCCTGGTGTGGCACTGTGGGTTAATGTACTGGACTGAACGGCCAGTTTAAACCATAAGGTCAGCAGTTCAAGCTTACCAGCTGTTCCTCGGAAACCCTATATTGGGTCGATATGAGTCGGAACTGACTTGACGACACCTAATAACAACAACACAGAACCTGCAGTGAGCCGTTGATCCATAAAGGATAGGGATGTGTTCTGAAATTCATGAGGGAATCCTACTAGAACATACAGCTCAGAGCTTTAGAGAACAGAACCTTCAGCCCATTACACATCCAAGATTTAAGGCAGTCAAATCTACAGCCATTCTCTGAACAGCTTAGAACTCAGTGTCTAGAACTCAGTGTCTAAAACTCAGAATGTAGACCATAATCTGAAGCTCCCTATAGAACCCACAGCCAGATTCTAGACCTAAACATAGCAACCCAAACCCTGGCTGAGAAATCAAAGATCAGACTAGAGCCCAGAACTCAACAAGTAACTATGAACCCAGATCTAATGCCTTAACTTGAAGCTCAGTCTAGAACCAAGAGCCCAGATTTCATCCTAGTGTCTAGAACACAAAATCCAGAGTGCAGATCAGCATGTCATGTAGAATTTTGACTCAAACATTAATCTGGAGCTCTGCCTAGAATCCAGAGTCCAACCTGAAACCAAGATCTAGATCAGAGTCTAGATCCAAGAGTTGAACTACTTACTATAAGCTGAAATTCAATCTGAAACAGAGCCCTGCTGGAGTACAGAACTCTAACCCGTGTCTAGAACCCAGGCCATATTCTGGAGCTTAATCTAGAACCCAGAACTCAATTTAGAAACTGGAGCTCATATCAATGTCTAATCATTTATCACTCAATACAGAATCAGCAGCTTACCCTAAATTTAAAGCTCAAACTAATACAAGAATCCAGATCTAAACCATAATACAGAGCTCAAAATATAACCCTCGGCTGGGCTAATGTGCTGGACTGCAAAATCAGAGGTTCAAGTTCACCAGTTGCTCCTTGGAACCCCTATATAAAGGGTCACAACGGGTTGGAATTGACTTGACAGCACTTAACAGAAACAACACCAACAACTCTGAACAAAACTCACACCAGTACCTAGAATTTATGCCATTATTCAGACTCTATATAGAGAGCTCTGATCCTTATAGTCACAAATTCAAAAGGTCTAGACCCCAGAGCCTGGGCATCAGTAGGATGATGTTGCCCTAGAGCCCACTCCAGAGTATCAATTCTGATTTAGAATCTAGAGTCAGAGCTAAGAGTCTCACCTAGAACTCAAAGCATATAATCCAACATAGACTCTAGAGCTGAACCCCAAATTCACAGTCATTATTTACACCCAAGCCAGGAACCAGAGCACAACTCAAGAGAGGAAGTGTAGGAAAGTAGAGATGAATTTAGAGAGAATGCCCAGACTATGGGAAAGGGTACAGGAAACCAGGAAATGCTCAGTCTGCCCTTAGAGGGATGTTACTGTTATTGAATCCCAGCAAACTGTTTTCAACTCACAGGGACCCCATTGGGTCCCAGTAGAACTGCTCCATGGGGTCTTCTTGAGTGTAATCTTTTATGGAAGCAGATTGCCAGACAGACCTTTCTCTCAAAGAGCTGCTGGATTGGTCCACACTGATAACCTTCCATTGACCAACCAGATGATTAAGTTATACCACCTCAGTGTCTTGCCATAAGAGGGCAGTGGGTTAGACATGGAGGAAAACCCAACCACAGAGACCCGGATGGTGCTGCAGGGTGGGGAGGGGTCTCCGGGTCAGATCTTAAGCATGACTACTCTTGGGGTCCTGGACCAGGATCCTTCGGGTAGCCCTGGGCAAGAACAACCTGAAGAGATGGGAAGCCACGCAACAGGTGTTACGGGTGGCTCGCCAAGTGGTACACCCTCGCTATAACTCCCGGACCCACGACAATGACCTGATGCTGCTACGGCTGGAAAAGCCCGCCCGTCTGGGCAGAGCAGTGAAGCCCATCCAAGTGGCTCAGTCCTGTGCCAACCCTGGGACTTCCTGTCGCGTGTCAGGCTGGGGCACCACAACCAGCCCCATTGGTGAGGACACAGATCCAGGCATCCTGGAAAGGAGGGTCCAGGGGCTGGACTCCTGGGTCTGAGGGAGGAGGGGCTGGGGGCGGGGACTCCTGGGTCTGAGGGAGGAGGGGCTGGGGACATGGACTCCTGGGTCTG